TTCTCGCCTTTAATCTGCCCATTCTGTTTTGCTCTCTCATGTTACTCCTGAACCTCTATTACCGGTCGTACCCACTATACACCTATGATTATTATACCTTCCAGTGATATATTAGTGCAATTTCTCTTTAATTCTAATAAGTAATCTCATCGTGAAGACGTGACTTTTGATTTGAAGGTAGGCACTTCAACTCTTCGCTATGGCTTATTGTTTGCATAATACATTTTTCCATCTATTTCCTATCAACCTCTTTTGTATGTCTCTTGTAGACAGAGTATAGTTGGATCCTGCTTTTTAAAATCTGTTTGGCTATCTCTACATTTTAATTGAAGTGTTTTAGACCATTAACATTTAATGTAATATATTGTTATGGTTGAAAGCAGGTTACCATTGTACTGTTCCTCTGTTCATTCCCCCACCCTTTTCCTGTTCTTCTGTTGCTCCTTTCTTGCCTTCTTCTGAGTTAATTGAATATTTTTTAGAAATATACTTTCAGCTAGGCACGGTAGCTCAACCTGTAATCCCAGCACTTTGGGAGCCAAAGCAGCGCAGATCATGAGGTCAGGAGTTCAAGACCAGCCTGGCCAGCATGGTGAAACCCTCTCTGCTGTAGCTAAAAAGTACGACAACACACACACACACACACACACACACACACAAATTAGCCAGGCATGGTGGCACATGCCTGTAGTCCCAGCTACAGCACTTTGGGAGGCTGAGGTGGTGGATCACCTGAGATCAGGAGTTCAAGACCAGCCTGGCCAACATGATGAAACCCCATCTCTACTAAAAATACAAAAAATCAGCTGGGCGTGGTGGTGTACAGCATGCCTGTAATTCCAGCTACTCAGGAGGCTGAGGCAGAAGAGTCGCTTGAGCCTGGGAGACAGAGGTTGCAGTGAGCCGAGATTGCATCACTGCCCTCCAGCATGGGCAACAAGAGCAAAACTCTGTTTCAAAATAAACAAATAAATAAATACTACTTGCATTTATGTATTAGCTTTTATTAACATACTCTTTGCATTTTTAAGTAGTCACTATAGAAATTATAATATATATCCTAATGCTTCACAATCTACTTAGAATTAATATTGTACCACTTTAAAATGTGTATTATGGGCCAGGAGCTGTGGCTTATGGCTGTAATCCCAGCACTTTGGGAAGCCAAGGCGGGCAGATCACTTGCGGTCAGGAGTTCGAGAATAGACTGGCCAACATGGTGAAACGCCATCTCTACTAAAACACAAAATTAGCTGGGCATGCTGGCGTATCCCTGTCATCCCAGCTACCCGAGAGACTGAGGCAGGAGAATCACTTGAACCCAGGAGGCAGAGGTTGCAGTGAGCTGAGATTATACCACTGCACTCCATCCTGGGCAACAGAGCGAGACCCTGTCTCAGAAAAAATAAATAGATAAATGTAAAATGTGTATTATATATTATATGTACGTAAGTTATAAACCTCACAGTAAGAGGTTACAATTTTTGCTTTAAACAATCATAGGATTTTTAAAAAGTGAAGAGGAAAAATTACTTTTTTTGAGACAGAGTTTCACTTTGTTGTCCAGGCTGGGGTGCAGTGGCATGATCTTGGCTCACTGCAACCTACACCTCCCGGGTTCAAACCTCAGCCTCCTAAGTAGCTGGGATTACAGGCGCCCGCCACCACGCTCAGCTGATTTTTTTGTATTTTAGGAGAGACGGGGTTTCACCATCTTGCCCAGGCTGGCCTTGAACTCCTGAGCTTAGGCAATCCACCGGTCTCAGCCTCCCAAAGTGCTAGGATTACAGGCATGAGACACTGTGCCTGGCCAGAAAAATTACTTTTTATGTTACTCTTACACTTACTATTTCTGGTGTTCTTCATTCTGAAGATATCTCATATCATGTCCTTTTACCCTGAAACGTTTTCCTTTAGCATTTTTAATGATGCAGGTCTGCTGGCAATGAATTATCTTAGTTTTTGATTATCTAAAAACATCATTTTGTCCAGGTGAGGTGGTGGCTCACACTTGTAATCCCAGCACTTTTGGAGGCTGAGGCAGGTAGGATTGAGCCCAGGAGTTTGAGACCAGCCAGAGCAACATGGCAAGACCTCATCTTAACAAAAAAAAATTTTTTAAATAGACAGGCATAGTGGTGGACACTTGTAGTCCCAGCTACTTAGGAGGCTAAGGCAGGAGGATCCCTTGAACCCAGGAGTTTGAGGCTGCAGTGAGCTATGATCACACCACCGCACTCCAGCTTGGCTGACCAATCAATACGCTGTCTCGATTTTTAAAAAATTGACAAGCATTATTAAGTGCTTAATGTGTACTTTTAATTGTTTAGGTTCCCATAGGCCTTTCAGACATCTTACTTTTCAGCCAAGGAATGTGAAGACTTGGCAAGAAGATCCACTCCCCCGGCATTGGGTCTATGGAGTCTGCTTAATCCGTGATACCTCCGGGAAAAGTTGCTTACCAGCCAGATGCTGCCACATGTGCCCCATGATGAGGTAAACAAGGCGCAACAGAGAGAGGTGAAAAAAGCTTCCTCTCACCATCAGTGATGCCAGGAAAAGACAGCATTTCCTGAGACTCATGTTGCTCAGGTCACCAGAGCTGGGCACGTCTGGGGCAGGTGGTATGGGGGCTGCTTCTAGCTTTGCCTAGGAAGGATTCGTGCAGATCTGTAGACCCAGGACTAGGTAAGACACATGAAGCACTTGCCTCAAGTGCAAAATTTAAGCGGGTGCCCAAAAACTCAGCAATCAAAATAATATTTTAATACCCTGTAAAAAAACAAAGTTAATGCAAAAAAATCTCTGATGAACAAAATATCAAACTTTTAAATAAGACAGACTTTGCATTTGCATGACTCACATCACTCACCACCCCCCTAATCTCAGCCCTGTTGGATCCTGCCTTTACTGAAAACGTTGATGTTTTGCTCATCATGGATTTTTTTGCATTAATTTTGATTTTTAAATATATCGCATAAAAATGGCACTTATCTTGATTAATAGTGGGGTTTGGGACATGCTAAATTTTGCAGTTGCCTCACCCTAGTCCCATTCCAGAACGTCATTATGTACCTCTTTACAATCTTCCTTGCTACACCCCCATCCCCACCAAAAGAAATCCCCCCAGCCTACTTTGATGATAGCAAAGCATTTTTTTCATACATAAAAATAAAACATTGACTGGTGACACTAATGACAGCCAAGTGAGGGGTTTGGGTAAGTTCTTGGCATAGTTCACTTAGCAGTTTTATAAATAGGAGTTCTAACAGACTTCTGGATCCCAGAGTAAAAAAAATTCACCAATTAAAATGATCCTAAATTTCCTCATCTCGACATAAGAGACTAAGAGCAAGATTAAGAAATACAAGGAATCTGAGTACTTTTACTGTTTGTTATAATGCACATTAATGTATTTGTTATTAATTTGGGGCTGCAAGTGGATGGAAAAATGAAATCTCGGATCTTATATTTTGTGGCAGGAGATGGCCAGCATGGCGCCATTCATAAGATATTTCACCCCTTTTCTTCAATCCTATTGTGTGTCTGCAGAGGCCACATGGAACAGTACTGGGGACCCCAGTTGTATTACCCATATCAACCTGAGCAAGTTACTCATTATCTATCGGTCTCACTTTCCTCATCTGCAAAATGGGACTACAATTTACCTTAAATAAAGGTTAAAACAAAATTTATAGGCCAGGCATGGTGGTTCACTCCTGGAATCTCATTACTTTGGGAGCCTGAGGCAGTAGAATTGCTTGAGGCCAGGAGCTCAAGAACAGCCTGGGCAACATAGGGAAAACTTGTCTCTACAAAAAATACAAAAATCAGCTGCATATGGTGACACATACTTGTAGTCCCTGCTACTTGGGAGGCTGAGGCAGGAGGATCACCTGAGCCCAGGAGTTAGGGGCTGCAGTGAGCTGATTATCCCTTTGCACTCCAGCCCCCTGTGTCCGAAACGAAAAAACAAGTGCCGGTGCACGGTGGCTCAACAGCTGTAATCCCAGCACTTTGGTAGGCCGAGACCAGGCGATAAGCTAAGTAGGAGAGTCCGGGCACCATCTGGCTAACACGGTTGAACAACCCGTCTTCACTAAAAA